AAAAAATTATATGTTTAGCCAACAATTAGTTGTTTTAGTCCCTCCTAGCAACTAGATTTTTGTCCATACACTTACAGTCTTATAGCTATCTTTACACTGCCTCATTACTATATTTACAATGATTTTTTCAGTGAAATTTATTGAACAAAGTGATGTAATTTGAGGATAACAAAACTTCTACTATGAATTGCAGATCTCAAATAAATATATACCAGATTTTTTACAAAAAAATATAAATTATTTCTATGGATTACAAATACCAGAGAAATATGTTAAATTATTCACAAATTTCAGAAAAATATTACAAATTGTTCATCGAGCTCCCTGCATTGGCGTCTGCTGACCCCATCGAGCTGTTGTGGCACAACTGGAGCGTCGTCATGCAGCCCCAGCCCCAGGCGCACCACAGGCCCGCGCCGCCCTCCGACCGCGACCGCTCGGGCGCTAGCGGCCTCACCGGCGAGGAGACCGCCGCGTGGTTCCCGGACACCCTCGACACGTTCTCGAGAAGGCCGACGCTCCGCAACACGAGGGCCCTAGCTTGCCGCCGCCGCCGGTTGGGAGCAGCGGCGGCGTCAAGATATGCTCGACCTTCTGCGGCAGCAACCAGGTGCCCAGGACGCCGACAGGGACCAGCAGGAATGACACGGCCTTGCAGTCGGAGGTGCGCGCGAATCTGTGTCAGATCTAGATCGAACGATGTGAAAATCGGTTGCCCACGACCATCAAAACAACGGCGTGAAAATCGGTTGCCCACGACCAGCAAAACAGCCGGATGTTATTGAGCAAAGAAAAAAGTCCATATTACCTCTCTCAACTTTCGCGAAAATTCGTTTTTCTTCCCTGAACTCTAAAATCAGACAAAACACCTCCCTCAACTTTCAAAACCGTTCATCTTACCTTCCTGGCATGTTATAAGAAGTTTTGAAGACGGTTTTATTTTTTCCTTTTTTATTTATTTTGGGTAAATCTTTGAAAAATCATAATAAATCACAGAAAAATCATAAAATAGAAAATCCAATTTTTTTTGACTCCACATGAGTAGATATATACAGTAAACATATAATATGGTATGCTTTAATACAAAGGTTTTGCTATGGCTTTAGATCTATGTTTTTTTGTAATTAATTGGAATAATTCATGGCTGCAGTTTCTATGGTCCAATTATGATGAAATTTTATGGTGGACTAATTATTGTATGATTGAACTGTAGTAAAAATTTCATACTCATTGGATCATGTATAGCTTAGTTATAGATTTATTTATATTTAACAGGCACAAACCTAAATTTATTTATAACAGGGCCAGGGAGGTAAGATGGATGGTTTTAAAAGTTGAGGGATGTGTTTTATCCGGTTTTAGAGTTCAGGGAGGAAAAATAGACTTTCGTAAAAATTAAGGGAGATAGTGTGGACTTTTTTCTTTAGCAAATCTAGAAACAAAAAAGAGTTGATGAGCGGGGCAAACGGGTGAGCCGAAGCAACCCATACGGAGGGCCCTCCATGTGGAAAGCCCAGGGAGAAAGCTTATCCATCCACCGAGGGGATGAGAAAAGCCCAACTCAGGCTACATTCCCCTAATGCCAGAAGATCGGCCCATGGAGCCGAGATATTCAGCCAACCCATCGCTTCAAGCGAGCTCCCTGAGCCAGTCCGCACCTGAACACTTTGCCTAGGCTCAAACTCGCAAGCCCAGGCCGCTCACCAACTCCTTCGCCCTCCTGAAGCCGGAGTCACAGGCGCGCGCTACCACCAAATTTTTTATTTTTAGCCTTTTTAAAAAAAAAGTTTTTCACAAATACACCCCTGGAGGAAAGATTTCAGAATCTGGACCCTTAGCTCGACGCCATCGATACTGGTGCCGAGCTAACACATCTCAGCGTCAGCGTCCCTGGCGCCGAGCTCTTGAGCTCGAGACCCACGTGGAGGTGACATGGCATCGGCGCCGTAGATCTTGACACCAAGCTCGACGCCGTAGATCTTGGCGTCGAGCTTATGTTTTAATCCCGGCCCCAACCTTCCTACCCGAGCATTCTTCCTCTTCTTTCTCCTCTCTCTCGGGTTTTTTCTCTCCCCACTTCGCTCTACCTCACGAATCTGCATATTGGACCTTGAAAACTTTGATTTGATACGTAGATCTTCGAGAGTAAGGTATCATCGCTCATTTCCTAGTTTTTTTCGCATCGATTCAGTATATATTAGTCGGATTTTTCAACCTAAGAATTGTCATTACTTAGGGTTTCATTCTATCCCTCAATATTTGTATTATACAACCGTAGGATGATGCCAATGCATGAAAAAGCTAGCAAACCTAGGCATATGTAGTTATGTTATGGGTTCATTGTTGTGCGTCAAATGGAAAACCCTAAGTTTAGGGTTTAGGTTGCGTTTGGTTGATATGAAAACACTGTAGCGACTGAAAGTTACTGTTCACGGATGAATTTGTAAGAGAAAAATACTGTTCCGGATGAAAAAAGAAGCAAATCAAGCCGGGTTTCATGTCCGCCGAACGCAACCTTAATGTTAATTGCTTTCGGTTCTTAGAACGAATTTGGTTGTATTGTAGTTATAGTTCTCATTGACATTTATTTGTGATGTTTTGATTTATGTTTGTTAAATTAGATCCGTTTTGTTAGATGCAAGAAATATTTCGGGAGGAGTTTTGACAAAAATGGGGTCGTCCTCGAGAATTATACCCCGACGCGTCTAGCAAAGATGCCCTCGTCCCTCCTGACCTCCCTGCCCCTAACTGTGACTGTGGTTTTTCGGCCCATGTTTTTCAATCGAAACATCCGGACACAGCGGCGCGGTGCTTCTACACATACAGTCGTTTTAATGTAAGAAATTATTTTCACTATCTTTTTTCTTTATTTGTGTAAGTATGCTACTAATATTTTATTAGAATCTCGTTGTGTAGGACCATGAGAGGTGCTTTTTCTTTCAGTGGATCGTTAATTAAATATGTAACTACCTATCTAAGTAGCTATCTAACTACATCTATATACCTATGTATCTATATTTCTATCTATCTACATATATATCTCATTAGATCACTAACTAAATCAACTACCTAAGTCATCACATTAACTAGTAAATAACAAATGCCAACTAAGTAGGTACATCGCATATTCACAATTTTTACCTTTGCAACGACTGATCCGCGGACGTCGGCAAGACAAAGACCAATTAGGCGAGGCGAGCACGCAGGCAAGTGGGCTTGCAAGATTGGACAGGGCCCGGTGCCTGGCACTGCACCAGCGCTGGCACGACGTGGCCATGGCACCATCCTTTGACTGCAGTCATGGCGGCAGCGCCGCAGCCAGCAGCACAAGCAAAGGGGCTTGATCGAGAGTAACAGGGGGGCTTGGCCATGACGCTGTGATGGCCGCGCGCACGACCACCTGGCCGAGGAAGAAGGAAGAAGCGGCGAGCTGGCGGGATGGCGCGGTGGCGCATGGCAGGCTGGGCTCAATGGCATGGCCCATGAGGCTCAGGCGGAGAGGCGGCGGCCGCGGCCTCCAGGCGTGGCAACCTCGGTGGGCAGCTGCAGGGGCGGCCGATGGTGGTGGCTCGGCGTGTGCAGCGAGGGCGAAAGAGCGCTTGAGCCTTGGCTCGGGCGGGCGGTGGCGAGCTCCGGCTTGGGCGGCGGTGTCTCTACTCGGCTCGGCGAGGGAGATGCGAGAGGGGGGGGAGAGGAAGAGAGAAAGGAATGGGGCCCATACGTAATAAAGGTTCGGCGTCATTCATCCTGGCGCCGAGCTCGGCGCCAGGGTGGCTGGCGCCGAGCTCCCTGCCATGTCACCTCCACGTGGGTCTTGAGCCCAAGAGCTCGGCGCCAGGGACGCTGGCGCCGAGACATGTTAGCTCGGCGACAACATCGATAGCGCTGAGCTAAGGGTGCAGATTCTAAAATATTTCCTCCAGAAACGTATTTATGAAAAACTTAAAAAAAAAGACTAAAAAATAAAAATTCGGACGCTACCACGCCTGGCAACATGGCTCGGGCAGCGTGCCTCTTATTCCCGCTTGCTTTACCGGCGATTACCAGTACGGGACTGAACCAGAGGCGAGATCGGGACCTGCACGGCTGCACCTGCAGATCGGGCGGAGGCTTTCGGGCTTTCGGCCAGGCATCAGGCACGCATATTTGTGATCCTGCAAATTTCAGATGAATGAATAACAGAATTGCTAGCCTACATCCGGTTGTTTTGGGAGCAGGTATCAACCGGATTTCTGGCCCTTAGATTAGACAGATGTCGTTCTGGACGACTGGATCAGAGGCTCTGTTCGCTGGTGCTCTCTCCGCCGCCGCCGCTCGCGCTCCCTCCGCTCGTACCTCGGCCGTCTCTCTCTTTGGCTCCCGTGTGTTCCGCCGCTGGCCCCTGGCACCGCCTCCCTCCGCTGCCGGCTCCCAGGCCGTCCGTCCGTCGCCGGCCAACATCACAGCGCCGCCCCCCGTGTGTCTGTGACCAGCCTCCCAGGCTGCTCTCTATGTCGCCGCCTCCCCAGGCCACTCCCAGGCCGGCTTCCTCCTCCGCCGCTTCCACCAGGCCGGCCGGCCGCGGCCCCCAGACTGCACCACCGCCGTTGCTTCATCTCCGGACAACCGTTGGGTGTGGGTGTGCGCGGCTGACCAGGGAAGGCGAGGCAAGGGATAATTTGTATTTTTACTGAAATTTGTGCATACTTTGTTATTTGTGACAATTTGATGATATTTGTAAACAATTTAACATATTTCTTTGGTGTCTGAAATTTATGGTATGGATTCGTGTTATTTCCATGTTAGATCGATCAATCTAATAAATTAGATTGAAAAAATCATTGTAAATATAGTTATAAGATAATGTAAGTGTATGGACAAAAATCTGATTGTTGGGGGGAGATAAAACAACCCATTGTTGGTCAGATAGATTCCTTACAAAACTTGACCGAATTTCGTCTAATTTTCTTTAAAAGTCCCGGAGGGCGGCTATCTTGTTTGGCCTTCCTTCATTTTCGAATTCAGAGAGCCCTCCCTGCCACGAATAGGCGCGCATCATATGCTTCCCCGCTAGAGTTTCCCGCCCGCGCGCACCTCGTCGGCATCGGGGTCGGGGCCGACGACCCTGCTCCAGCGCGCCACACCCGGGCCACCTGCTCGATGGGCACCCCCTTCGTCTCCGGCAGCAGGAGATACACGAACGCGGTCATGACAGCAAGCCACGCGGCGAAGAAGAAGAAGATGCCGGCCTTCATGTGGCACAGCATGGAGAGGAACGCCTGCGCCACGAACACGGTGAACGCGAAGCTCACGGCCACCGTGACGCTCTGCCCGGCGGCGCGCACCTCCAGCGGGAAGATCTCGCTGGGGACCAGCCACCCGAGCGGGCCCCAGGACCAGCCGAACCCGGCCACGTACACGGCGATGAGCAGGATGAGCACCCCGGCCCACGCCTTCCCCACGCCGCCGCTGTCCCGCAGCTCCGCGGCCATGATGGCGCCGATCATCACCTGCGACGCCTGCATCTGCGCGCCGCCGGCCAGGAACAGCGTGCGGCGCCCGAAGCGGTCCACGGCGAGCATGGACGCGAAGGTGGAGCCCACGCCCACGACGCCCGTCACCACCGCCGACAGCAGCGACGCGCTCTCGCCCATGCCGATGGTGCGCAGCAGCACCGGCGCGTAGAACGCGATCGCGTTGATCCCCGTCACCTGCTGGAAGAAAGGGATCGCCACCGCCATCACCAGCTGCGGCAGGTACCGCCGCTCCACGAGGAGCCGACGCAGGCCGTCCCCTCCGGCCGCGGCCTCCCCCGCCGCCGCAGCCGCGGCGACGATGTTGTCAGCTCGTCGCCCACGTCGACGCCGGCGCCGCTGACCTTCTGCAGCAGCTGCGCCACGTCTCGGCGGTCCCTGCCCTGCTGCACCAGACTGCTCGGCGTCTCAGGGAGGAACAGTGCGCCGAGGGTGAGGAGGCCCGCGGCGAGCGCCAGCGACACGCGCCACCCCCACCCGCCGCTGATCTTCTCTGTGCCGAAGTTGATCACGTTCGCCGCCAGCGCGCCGACCCCGATGCTGAGCTGGAACCCGTTGCTGAACGCGCCGCGGAGCCGGGCCGGGGCCATCTCCGACAGGTACAGCGGCACGGCCTGGTTGGCGAAGCCGAGCCCGACGCCCAGGAGCACCCGCCCTAGGATCACCATGTAGATGTTCACGGACGCGCCGCCCACGGCCGCGCCCGCAAGGAACGCCGCGCCGCCCAGGACCATGGACTCCCTGCGGCCGCGCCCCGCCGTGACCCGCGACGCCAGGAACGTGGTCACCAGGCCCGCCACGTACAGCGAAGACGTGAACGCCGTCAGCAGCTGGCTGTCAAACTTGCAGTAGTTGCTCACCCGCGTGTCGCCGCGCATCCGGCGGTACACGTCCGGGAAGAACTTGCGCAGCAACGGCTCCATCGACGACACGCCGCCTGCATGCGCGAGCGAGTGCCGTTGTTCACACGTCAGTCACTGTGGGACTTGGGACCTTACTGCTACTTGTTACTCATGGCGGCATCCATTTTTTTACCTGCGATCCCGATGTCGTAGCCGAATATGACACCGCCCATGCCGGCGGTCATGCAGGACAGCACGACGAAGGCGGTGATCCTTCCGCCATAGCGGCGGTCCTGGCTGCCCTCGACGGCGACGACGCCAACCGCCATGGCTGATCTGATCAGTGATCAGTCGACCAGACTACCAGAGCTGCTTGCTCGCACTCGCAGTGAAGGACAAGTGATTTTATCTTGTTGCAGCTGTGGAAGTGTGGTATAGTAGGTGACTTGTAGCAGTCATGGTTGACTAGCCGGATCAGAGGTCCGATGTCGACCAATGAGAGTATGCGACCATCTCGTCCTTGTTTGGAGTTTGGACCACATGAGCCATAGCTTGAACAGGGCACGCAATGGGCAGGGCAACACAGAGACAGGGGTGCCACTCAGCTGTTGCTATCTGCAAAACGATTGGTATGCTGACTAGTTTGTGCACATGATACTACTATTCTACAGGTTTTGCTGACTAGTTTGAGGCTGATGCAGACTGCCTCCTGTGCTTGTGCACTAGAGTAGGCAAATCAAGGTATTATTAGTAGTTTAGTGCTTGCTTGTTGCAACCAGACACGAGACCAATATTTAGTCCAAGAGATTCTGGGCAGATTACTTGTTGCAACAAATCAATCAATCTCTGAAGATTCAACTTGAAAGGCGACGTGGCTGGCGCCGGCTCAGGGAATGGATGTGGTGTTCGTGTTTGCTACCATCGCCGGTTATTCACTAATTCTACATCCATATAGTGCCACTTCTATAGTGAATTTGTGAAGTTAAGTGGCGAATTGATCTGGGAAACAAGAGCAGCAAATTACCCGTTAACAACTGTAACAAACCACGTGTGAAAAAAGAGAGGAAAGATTCTGCTATTGAATCCAGTTATCTGAATACATGTATAAATGCATGAGTACAATTTGTGTTGTATATCATTGTATCTTTGCAATGTTACGTGTGATACAAAAAGGATAAAATGTAAAAAAAACAATGGATATATATGCCAAATCCTCCGGCAAATCTTCTGTACCTAGTACTCTATTGATTTTTATTACAACCGGCAATGAATAGTATCAGAATTACACTCACAACAACACAGAGATAATCCATGAGCCTCCAACCCAGGGATCCAGTTCCTGCCATCTGATGCGTCTGAACACTAGGGTCCAGCCGTCCAGGCTTATAGATTTGAGAAGGAACTAGGCAGCTTTGGTGCTCCCTCGAAAGCCCATGCCGAGATAAGGTGATGAGCAATGGCGAAGGGTCCTGGGACGAACATTGGAGCAGGCTCACCACTTTCAACTTTAAAGTCATCAGAGAGGCTCTGCCCTTTCTCAGCACCCATGCAAATCTGATTGACCTTGGCAGCATTTGTTCTCTGAGCTTTCTTGTGTTCAGCAAACGTCAACGCTTTCTTGATGTCTTCACGGCTGTGCCATTGGGCATCTACATGCATGATAAAAGAATGGCATTTGAGATAGATATTGAAACCTTTCTAGTCATCCATTCTCTAAAAAGGATCAGTAAATTAAGCCCCATTTCTGGAGTGTATAACCTGCACAAAATCTAATGTAAAATATCAAGTTTCATGCATCAACCAGCTCAGATAAAAACTTAAGAATGTCGTCAAAGGGTTGTAGTATACTCATACATCAGCATACCATGTCGTAGCAGAGGAAGAAAATTATAATAGCAAGACTCACCACAAAATAGGATAAAGGACAGACAAAACAAGTAATGTAGGAACAGGAAGAGAAGTTAATAAAATGCAAGTCAAAAGAAAGAAAAAGCATTCGATTTCTGATGAAGTGTCAAAAATTACCTTCAAGCTCCTGCTTGTCCACTTTTATCTCCAATGATTTAGCATAAGCAAAGAAGCCCATCATTAGTTGGCAGGGCATAGTATTTGGCCCAACTGATACAGTACAAGAAGACAGTTTTAAGTGCAGAATACTTGGTTTGCAAATGTTAACAAAAGCACTTAAATCACTGTGTGAATACTACTATATTTTGGACATAAAAATAAGTACAGAAATGAAAGTACAGTTCTAATCTTCCAGTAGTATTTCCACTACCGTTTTTCCTCAGAAAACAATGACAAGACCATTACCAGGCCATGGTTGAGAACTGTGATAAACGACTTGTCCAACTTCAATACCAGTTTCCTCCCATGTTTCTCGTCTCACTGCCTCTTCCAGGCCTTCTCCTGGCTACAAACATAACAGATGCAGTATAAGCTTCTAATAATGTTAATACTTTATAAAGAAGACAATGATCTTGTTAGCTATAATACAGACAACACACTTTACATTGAGCATAAGCTTCCGGTGATATTTAACAGGAAAAATCTCTCTTTTAGTTTCAGAAAAGGAATCATTGTACATAGGAAAATCACTAATTCCATGGTTACAGAAGGGATGCTGTTCATTTTCAAAATCAGACCAACCTTTTGAACCCAATATTAGCTACTTAGTTAAGATCAAGCGAAACATTTTTTGTAGGAGAAATGTTGCATATTTAAAAATCACTCATTATGTGTGGTAGGTCAGACACTCAGTTCTCATGTATGTACTATGTAGAGTTCAGTTGTTTTATGCCGGAAGGGTTATTGTCCCTTGCAGTTAAAAATTAATATGGCAGTGTAAACTTGTTATGAGCTTATCTAACCAGGACATTCTAGTATGCTGCATTCATTATTTGAACTACTTATCAGTAAATAATTGCATTTTTAAGATGAAAATCTGTTTGTTTCTGGAAACATGGACAACTGAAATTTACTCTTGATGTTTGTGTCTCCTTCCATCTAACCACATCCAAAGTCAGTTTAAGAAAAAAAAGTGACAATAATAGAGATTTCAATGAAACACGGAATAATAGCAACATTAATAAGAATGTTAAGCAGTTATGTGCACCTCTATGAAACCAGCAAGACAACTCCACATTCGAGGCACAAATCTTGACTGGCGACTTAAGAGCGCCCGATCATTTTCTTTATCAATGACCAACATGATCACAACCTGCAATACCACGTGCAGAAGAAAAGGGTGTACACCTTATTGTCAGTTTGTATCCTACAGGATAAGAATGGTGACAGGTACTCAGGTAGCACAAAGTGTACCCACACTGCAGAAAAGAGGGCCCACTGAGGAAGAGTGCACAAATCATACCGGATCAATTCGAGGGTATATCCTCTTCTTGCAGGACTCGTTGCTGCACTGCTTACGCCTTCCGGCTTCAGTAGGAACAGCCTTTGCTCCACAAGCTCCACAAAATTTTGCCGTGCTGTGCCATTCGAGCAGTGCTCGAGCCTGCTCGAAATTCAGAAATCAGATCGACCATCTTCTTCGAGTCATCGGTCAAAGATACAGCGCTAAATTACAAGAATGGTTAAACAAGAACCGAAGAAGTAAGAATCTTGCATACATGTCCTGCGATGGCGAGCTCCCCCATGGCATCCTTGTCGCTCCAGTCCGTGGCGACCATGAGCGTCCTCAAGTCAACAAACGCCGACGGCCCATCCCCGTCCGCCGGCCCGCCAACCGTCGCTCCCTCGCCCTCGCTGACGTCGACCGCCCAGTACGCGGCGGCCTCCTTGCCGCCGCCCTCGACGTGCGCGCCCAGGAAGACGAAGGCGTCCGGGGCGAGCCCGGGGACGAGGGACGGCGGGAGCCACGCGAGGCACCAGATCGGCGCCGCGGAGGCGGCGGACGCGGGAGGAGGGTCCGTGGAGCGCGCGAGCGGGCGGCCCCGGCGGAAAGGGAGGATCTTGGAGAGGTACGGCTGGGGATTGGCGGCGGCGGCGGCGGAGCTGGGGTCGAGAACGGAGCGGAGAGCCTCGGCGGCCGCGGAGGGGGACACGGCGGTGGTGGCGGTGGAGACTCCACGCAGCGGGTTGGCCGCGAAGGCGTGGGCGCGGAGGTGGATTGCCATGGCGGTGGCGGGGGCGCGGGGCTTCAGGGTAGCTGCAGCTGCCGGCTCCACTGCCGTTTCCTTCCCGGCAAGGCCGCAGGGAGTTGGATTGGAATTTTGGATCACTGGACGGAGACGGCGTGTGTCGATGCCATGTGGGGCCAGGACGACAGGTTGTTTGTTGTGGCTACACACCCATGGGCCATCATCAACTGTACATGGGCCGACGGAATTAACAGCCCATTTAGAACTGAAACTGGAACAGAAAGGCCGTTTCTCACGCACCCGTTCGTGGGCCGACGGTCGACCTCCTGACAGGCCGAACAGTGTACCCCGCGCCCGCTTGAATTCAAAAGTGGACATGTCTGGCAAGCTCTTGAGCTGCATGCCTGCATCTGACTGATGATTCATGGAATCACGGTCAACTTTGACTGTCACATTGAACCTGAAAGAGCTAATCCTTCTGGACAATATCCGAATTTTTCCACCAGAAAATTGATGACACAGATGTCCTTGAATCTGCTAACATCATCTACAATTCGACTTGAGTATACGAAAATGCTGGAGGATCTCAAGAACTTAGACAGACTGTACATGTAAGATGCAGAGCAATGGCAGAAGCCCACTTTGCTGAAGATCGTTGGTATCAGATATCTCTGACTGCATTTGAGGGCGATGTGCGTGCCATGAGGAAATTGGACAGATCAAAAGGTTCTAAGGCTCATTTGAGATGACTGTATGTTCTAACAATGCAATTGTGGGATGGGAAGGATACAATTTAGAATGTGCAAGAGGCAGGGGCTCCTGAAAAACATTGGTCTGAAACTCTGAATGGGGAGTGTATGCATATGCACGGTTCAGCTGCTAATCTGAATCCACGTACGTCCTGTTTCAGAAACACTATTTTTTTTACACAAGAAACACTATTATGCATGTGTTTGGCGTGTTTGCTGCTGCAGCAGCAACAACAACAAAGCCTTTAAGTCTCAAACAAGTTGGGGTAGGCTAGAGTTGAAACCCAGCAAAAGCAATCAAGGTTCAGGCACGTGAATAGCTGTTTTATAAGCACTCCTATCTAAGGCTAAGTCGTTGGGTATATTCCATCATTTCAAATATCCTTTTATTCCCTCTAACCAAGTCAACTTTGGTCTTCCTCTGCCTCTCTTCATATTACTATCCTGGCTTAGAATTCCACTACGCACCGGGGCCTCTGGAGGTCTCCGTTGGACATGTCCAAACCATCTCAACCGGTGTTGGACAAGCTTTTTTTCAATTGGTGCTACCCCTAATCTATCACGTATATTATCATTCTGAACTCGATCCCTTCTTGTATGACCGCAAATCCAACGCAACATACACATTTCCGTGACATTTATCTGTTGAACATGTCATCTTTTCGTAGGCAAACATTCTGCACCATACAACATAGCAGGTCTAATCGCCGTCGTATAAAACTTGCCGTTTAGCTTCTGTGGTACCCTTTTGTCACATAGGACACCAGATGCTTGGCGCCACTTCATCCACCATGCTTTGATTCTATGGCTAACATCTTCATCAATATCCTCGTCTCTCTGTAGCATTGATCCTAAATATTGAAAGGTATCATTCCTAGGCACTACTTGACCTTCCAAAGTAATATCTTCCTCCTCCCAAGTAGTAGTGCCAAAGTCACATCTCATATACTCTGTTTTAATTCTACTGAGTCTAAAACCTTTGGACTCCAAAGTCTCCTGCCATAACTCCAGTTTCTGATTCACTCCTGTCCGGCTTTCATCAACTAGCACTACATCGTCCGCAAAAAGCATACACCAAGGGATGTCCCCTTGTATATCCCTTGTGACCTCATCTATTACTAAGGCAAACAGATAAGGGCTCAAAGCTGACCCTTGATCTAGTCATATCCTAATCGGAAAGTCATCCGTGTCTCCATCACTTGTTCGAACACTAGTCATAACATTGTTGTACATGTCTCTTTAATGAGCCCGACGTACTTCTTTGGGACTTTATGTTTGTCCAAAGCCCACCACATAACATTTCTTGGTATTTTATCATAAGCCTTCTCCTAGTCAATAAAAACTATGTGTAGGTCATTCTTCTTCTCCCTATACCGCTTCATAACTTGTCTTATTAAGAAAATTGCTTCCATGGTTGACCTTCCGGGCATGAAACCAAATTGGTTCATAGAGACCTGCGTTATTGCTCTCAAGCGATGCTCGATAACTCTCTCCCATAGCTTCATAGTATGGCTCATCAACTTAATTTCTCAGTAATTAGTACAACTTTGAATATCCCCTTTATTCTTGTAGATTGGTACTAATATAATTCTCCACCACTCATCAGGCATCTTGTACGATCGAAAAATATGGTAGAACAGCTTGGTTAGCTATACTATAGCTATGTCCCCGAGGCATCTCCACACCTTGATTGGGATACCATCCGGTTCCATCGCCTTACCTCCTTTCATCCTTTTCAACGCCTCTCTGACATCAGATTCTTGGATTCTTCGCACAAAGCGCCTATTGGTGTCATCAAAAGAGTCATCCAATTGAAAGGTTGTGTCCATATTCTCACTATTGAACAATTTGTCAAAATACTCTTGCCGTCGATGTCGGATCTGATCCTCCTTCACCAAGAGATGCTCCCTTTCATCCTTAATGCACTTAACTTGGTTGAAGTCCCTTGTCTTTCTCTCACAAACCCTAGCCATCCTATAAATGTTCTTCTCTCCTTCCTTCGTACTCAAATGTTGGTAAAGATCCTCGTACGCTCTACCATTTGCCACACTTACAGCTTGCTTTGCAGTCTTCTTTGCCACCTTGTACTTCTCTATGTTGTCCACACTCCTGTCATAGTACAAGTGTCTATAACATTCTTTCTTCTCCTTAATAGCCCTTTAGACTTCCTCGTTCCACCACCAAGTATCTTTAGCCTCGCCTTCACTTCCTTTGGTTACTCCACACACCTCTGAGGCCACTTTCCGAATATTGGTTGCCATCTTCTCCCATATGTTGTTTATGTCCTCTTCTTCCTTCTAAGAGTCCTCTTTGATAACCCTTTCCCTGAATACCTCTGACGTCTCCCCTTTTAGTTTCCACCACTTTGTTCTTTCAATCTTAGCTTATTTATCCCTACGGGCACGCACCTGAAAATGAAAGTCTGCCACCAAAAGCTTATGTTGAGAAACAACACACTCCCCTGGTATCACCTTGCAACCAAAGCATGCTCGTTTGTCCTTTCTTCTTACGAGAACAAAGTCAATCTGGCTAGAGTGTTGTCTGCTACTGAAGGTCACTAGATGAGATTCTTTCTTTTCTAAAGAAAGTGTTGGCTATCATCAGGTCAAAAGCAACTACGAAGTCCAAAACTTCCTCCCCTCCCGATTCCTACTACCATACCCAAAGCCTCAATGAACTGCCTCGAAACCTGCGCTTGTAGTACCTACATGCTCATTAAGATCTCCTTCTATAAAAAGCTTCTCACTACTAGGTACATCTCTAATAAGGCCATCTAAGTCATCCTAGAACTGTCTCTTACCACTCTCGTCGAGGCCTACTTGGAGGGCATACACACTAATTACGTTCAAGACCATATCGTCAACGATAAGCTTGACTAAGATAATCCTATCTCCTTGCCTTCTCACTCCCACCATACCATTCTTGAGGCTCTTATCAATCAAAACTCCTACTCCATTTCTATTCGCGACTATCCCTGTGTACCAAAGCTTGAAACCTGTATTGTCCACCTCCTTCGCCTTCTAACCCTTCCATTTAGTCTCTTGAACACATAATATATTTACATGCCTCCTAGTCGCGGTATCAACTAATTCTCTTAACTTACCTGTAAGCGACCCTACATTCCAACTACCTAAACGGATCCTAGTTGGTTCGACTAGCTTCCTTACCCTTCGCACCCGTCGACTCAGATGTGAAGATCCTTACTCATTTTTCACTACACCCGGACGCCAATGTAGCGCGCCACTAAGGAAGCGACGACCCGATCCTTGCTCACTTGACACCATGTCCAGATCGCGACACGGCGCGTCACCAAGGGGGTGCCGACCCGACCCTTGCCCATTTAACACCATACCCAGGTTCCGATATGGCACGTCGCTAAGAGGGTTACGCCCCAACGGTTTTCTTTCTGGTTTCATCTCTATTAGAATGACTAGATTTAACTTTGGCTCACCACGCATATCACAACTCTCCTCCTTTACCAGGGCCTGGGACCTGCTACGTTGAGACAATATAGGCGGAGTTAGATACATAATGTTTGCAAACTGAATATTTTTTTTAAATAGGCTGCATGTTGTCTCCTAATTCTGATAGACAATCAAATATGCTGACAACATGTGAACCCAAAAAAAATCAATGTGCTGTAATAATTATACAAGATACAACCACAGCAGGATTTAGATCCCTCCCTACATCAACAATATTGGCAAACATAACAACACTCGCTATAAGTTTCTTTTTTTGTTTTTTTACCACGAAAGTTTTGCTAAAAGTTTAGTGCAAAGTACCACTAAAATACCATCAATCTTCCATCAGCGAGCTGTCAGTCAGTACCAGAAACAACTCTGACTCGCTATAAGCTGCCCCCGGACAGCCTCTGCAATGTGTGGAAAACAGGGACTCTCTGCCAGTCTCTTGTAGCATCTCAAAACAAAAAGAGCCTGGGGCGCCAGCAACATCCCCAACCCCAAGGGGTGCTTTAGCAATATCAGGGCATCCCTGGGCAATCAATCTGACATCGTATAGACCAGGAAAAACTCCTCTTTGATGCTTGATGTAAGAACACCAGTCGCTGGGAAGGTCGTCGGCTGCTAGAAATGACTTGATCAGGCAGGCGATCCCAAGTGATCCCTGGTATGTCACCCAAGCTACATTGGGGTTGTGTGTAGCACCACATGATGCCATGAGCCAAGCCAATTGTCCCGGACGCACGTAGGCGCTGTTGCCTCCTGCAACTGCAGGATCAGCTCTGGAGCTGAGGTGGAATTTCCACACACGGCCATACGCTAGCATCCCTTCGGCGTTCATGAACGCGACCGTGACATGGAATTCGTTGATGCCTTTCAAGCTGCTCTTCATGAGGTCATAATCTTGCTGCGGATCAGCTGCATAAAAGGGGATGCCACAACCCAACGGAAGAAGCTACACATCGGCTCCGACGATCTTGAAATTGCTTGTCACCACTTCATCGATTAGCCGTGCCTCTTTGTTGAAATTATGCCCTCGCACCTCAACTGTGGTGACAGTGGCATCGTCAATGTGGCGTGCACACTTGATGCCCATGCCGAGCTCTTCCATTCCTGACAGCAAGCACTGTCGAGAATGCAGTCGATGCAGCTCGTGTTTATTGCGGCGGTGAATCTCCTTGAAGCACGACAGCGTAAGCAACGCGTCGGAGCCGGCGTGATGCTAGCCGCCGATACGGCGAACGCCTAGATGCGCAGCCAGGGCCGTGAGGCTGCCGGTGAACCCTTCCTTCTCCAACTGACCGAGGACACGCACATCATAGAAGACCGGAAACTGCTGACGCACCTGGCACATGAAGGCTGCGCGGTCCGGTGGCAGAACGCCGCGGCCTTGCTGCTGCAGCAGCAGGCGGAGGAGGAAGCCGAAGTCACGGTCCCCGTGGAAAGGCACCCAGATGACGAAATCGTCACCGAACGGGAGATGCCGAAGGAGGCCGTTGAGAAACTGCTCCATAGTGACTCCACGGTCTCTGTGTTCTGTGAGACGGTGCCCTTGAGCTGCCAGGAAGGTGCTCCATAGTGACTCCACGGTCTCTGTGTTCTGTGAGACGGTGCCCTTGAGCTGCCAGGAAGGTGATCGACGCATCATTGTACTCACGCGCGTCCACGTCGAACCTGAGGTTGATCTCCAGTGCTATCACGGACGATGGGGCTTGAGCTTCTCTATGTCGTTGGTGGTCGAGGTCGAGGTCGAATGCAAGCGCGAGGCCCACCTGGAGCATTTTGCCTCCATTGACAAAGGTGCGCAAGTGACCGTACCAGGTGTTCCAGCAGATCGGCCTGAAGCGCACGTTCGTGGAGGCGCCAGCCACAAACTCGAGGTCGAGCGCGATGTAGAGGTGGCGGCGAGGCTGACGGAGCTTGTCCACGACGAGCTTGAACGCCTCGTCGCAGTTCTCGCGCCAGACTCTGTGCACGATGGCCTCCGAGACAAGCGCGAACGGGTCGGCTGACACCGATGATGAGCGCACGCCTGCTGCAGTGGTGTTGTCACTGGAAGCCTTCGTGTCGAGATGGTCCGCGGCCGCCATGGAGAGGGCCATGGCGTCCAGACCGAAGCCATCGCCGTTCACGTCGAACTCCTGAACAGGTACTTGATCCTGAACAGAACCTGCCCGCCGAGGTACCTGATCTGGTGACGCGGCGCGGTCGCCTTCGACGGCGTCTCCCACCTGAACCTGGCGCTGCACTTCTGCGCGCTCCGCCGCTTCGAGCTCGCCCGCACGGGTCCCCCGCGCGCGGCCGCGCCAGGCTCGCCGTGTGGCTGCTCACCACCACGCTCACCGATGCCTTCACCTGCAAGATCGCGGCGGTCGCCTTCGTCGGCGTCTCCCACCTGAACCTGGCGCTGCTCTTCTGCGCGCTCCGCAGCTTCGAGCTCTGTCACCGTCCCTCACCTGGACCCGTCCACATGTGAAGCTGGGCCGAGACGTGGAACTCGAGCCCGATCCAGAAGCACAAGAGTGTCTGGTCCGCAATGGGCCTGTATCCGCTGCGAGCCTAAGAAAGTGGAGTAGATAAGAGAGAGTGGAGAGGAAGAAAGGAATGATCCAACTTGTATCAGATAACTCGTTACGTTTCTAAGCTTTCCTATGTAACCGGACCTCTGGCCGGCGATCCCCTATCTCTGTTCGTCTCCGGCTCCGGCCGATTACTGTGTACCTAACACCTGGTATCAAAGACAGTCGAGCCTCGCCACCCCGTCGGCTCTGGATCCTGCGCCGCCCACCCACTCCCACTTCACTCGGCTGCAGCGGACCAGAGGAGCCATGGATCCCGTCGTCTCCAAGACGTTCGACGAAATGCTCAAAAGGATAGAGGACTACGACAAGCGCTGGGGAAACTTGGAGCGGCGCTTCGACGATGCGTCCGCCGCCCTCCAGGAGCGCGAGGAAGCCGTCGACGCCCGCCTCATTTCGCTGGAGAGTTTCGCCTCCGCCCAGTACACCGCCGCCGTCGTCGCCGACAACTGGGGATCTCACTTCGACTCGCGCGTGTCGGATCTGGAGCAGCGCATGGCCGACCTCGAACTCATCTGGTTGGACGAGATCCGGGGACGAGCGCGACGATCGTGTGGAGACGCTGGAGGAAGCCGTCAGCGAGCTGCAGTCGTGGCGCATGGAGGTCGACGGCAACATCGACGACATCCGCTACGATCTCCGCCGCCTTTCCAAGTCTACGTCGACGCAACCGCAGCAACCACCGCTGCAGTCGCGTCCCGAGTTGGCCGCCGCCGCGTGCCCTGGCGGATCCACGGGCGACTGGCCCAGTGGGCACCGCGTCGCATCGATTACAACGGGAGCGGGGCTATGGTTCGGTGACGACCATTGCTCCAAACCCGGCCAATGGTACGTCCTCAAATCCTCGCCCAGTTCCTCTCAATTCGCATCATCCCCCCCACCCCCGCATCCACCCAATTGGCATCCAAATCCCAATCCTACCGCACCCCAAACTCAGTCCTCGTTTCCAACCAATTCCACTTCCATCCTTCTGCAGCCGAATCCACACTCCAATTTCCCCGTTCAGCACCACAACCCCTTCCTAGGCCAGTTACCCAAGATGCAATTTCCCAAATTCGACGGAGACAATCCCCAGTTCTGGATAACACAAGCGAAAAACTATTTTGAGATGTACTTTGTCGATGAATCCGTCTGGGTCAAATGCGCTACGATGCAGTTCACAGGCGCTGCTAAGCGTTGGCTGCAGTCCATCGAACCCTCCCTTCATGGCCTCGATTGGATTGCTTTCTGTCGCTTGATCCGTGACCGTTTCAGTCGTGATCAGCATGAACTCCTCCTCAGGCAACTCTTCAACATCAAACAAACTGCTTCCGTGCAAGAGTATGTCAACCAGTTCATTGCTCTCGTTGAGAACCTCTCTGCTTATACACCTAACCCAGATAACCTATCCTATACCACAAGATTCATTGATGGTCTTCGACCAGACATACGTGCCATTGTTATAGTTCAACGTCCACAAAACCTGGATACTGCTTGCACTCTGGCCCTTTTGCAGGAAGAGGCGGCTGCAGCTGAACCCGGGCAGTCCACCGACATCAAGAAAACTGAGGGGTACTCCTTTTTCAAGCCTCCAGCTGCTCGTGGCCCCCTACCACTGCCACCCCCACCTCCACGTCCTGGTGGTGCAGCGGTGCACGGCGACAAGAAAGGACCTGAAGATAAGCGTTACCCAGCCAAGCCACCTATGGACGACCGGCTTCAGTCCCTGCGTTCCTACCGCAGAGCTCGTGGCTTGTGCATCAGGTGCGCTGAGAAATGGCAGCCAGGCCACAAATGCGCTCCAGTGCTTCAGTTGCATGCGCTACAAGAAGTATGGAATCTGTGTCAAGATGAATTTCTAGAAGAGGAAGTTTCTGAACCTGATAACAGTGGCGAACCAGCTCAACTATTTATGATGCTCTCGACAGCTGCAGCTTCCAGCCACTCGTCAGCTCGTTCTCTTCAGTTACCTAGGAAGATTGGAGGCAACGACATCATCATTTTTGTTGATTCAGGCAGCACCCATTCCTTTCTCAACACCTCTGTGGCCATGAAACTTCAAGGTATCCAACCTCTGTCATCTCCAGTCTTTGTGCAAGTAGCTAATGGAGGTCAGATTGCTTGCTCCCAAGAGATCCCAATGGCAGAGTGGTTTGTTCATCAGCACAAGTTCCATTCTACTCTGAAGGTTCTTGATATTGGGTTCTATGATATGATCATTGGAATGGACAGGCTACAGGCATTCTCTCCGATGAAAATCCACTGGGAACAGAAATGGATGCTTATTCCCTATGGTTCTACTCAAATTGCTCTGCAAGGCCTGGTACCTGACTCTGCGGCATGTTCAGTAGTTCAGTTATTTCACATTGCAACAGATTCTGAACAGACGTCCGCAGTCACCCACCCTCCAGAGCTCCAAGCCTTACTTGATGAGTTTGCTGAACTGTTTGTTGAGCCCAAGGAGTTACCTCCCCCGGCGTCCGTGTGACCACACCATACCGTTGGTCGCCGGCGCACAGCCTATTTCAGTGAGACCATACCGCTACACACCAGCGTTGAAGACTGAGATTGAGCAACAAGTTTCTGACATGCTACAGTCCGGGTTGATCAGACCAAGCACCAGTGCCTTCTCCTCTTCGGTGTTGTTGGTTCCGCAAGAAAGACGGTTCCTGGCGCTTCTGCTTAGATTATCGCACGCTCAACGCCTTGACTGTCAAGAGCAAGTTCCCTATTCCAATTATTGATGAACTTCTTGATGAGCTCTCCTCTGCAGCATGGTTCACTACTCTAGACCTCCGTGCTGGTTTCAATCAAATCCGTTTGGCGCCCGGTGAAGAACACAAGACTGCCTTCCAAACCCATTGGGGACACTTCGAGTTCACAGTGATGGCCTTCGGATTGACTGGCGCCCCAAATACTTTCCAAGGCGTGATGAACTCAACCTTGCACACCCTGCTTCGCCGATGTGTATTGGTTTTCTTCGACGATATACTCGTCTACAGCCGCACCCTGGAGGAACACTTAGGTCACTTGAGACAGGTGTTTACTCTTCTTGCTCGAGATAAATGGCAGCTGAAGTTGTCCAAATGCCGTTTTGCACAGCAGAGCATCTCTTATTTGGGGCGCCACGGACCCCTCCAAAATAGAAGCCATACGAGCCTGGCCAGTCCCTGCCGATGTCAAACAACTCTGAAGCTTCCTGGGCATGACGGGCTACTACAGAAAATTTGTTCAGAACTACGCGATCATCGCAAGACCTCTCACCGACCTCCTCAAGAAGGGCTCTATCTTCATTTGGACTCCGGCTCATGACTCAGCTTTTCAAGCTCTCAAGCAGGCTCTGGTTTCTGCTCCCGTCCTGGCACTTCTTGATTTCTCCAAGCAGTTCCAATTGCAGACAGACGCCAGTGACTTTGGAGTGGGCGCCGTACTTCTTCAAGACGACCACCCTTTGGCCTTCATTAGCAAGGCTTTGGGCCCGCGCACTCGCGGCTTATCGACGTATGAAAAAGGGTACCTCACAATTCTAGTTGCTGTTGGCCAATGGAGGGCATATCTGCAGCATGGAGAATTCATCATCTTCACTGATCAGCGTAGCCTTATGCATGCTACCGATCAGCGTCTACATACTCCATGGCAGTTGAAACTCTACACCAAGCTAGTGGGTCTCCAATACAAGATAGTCTACAAGCCTGGCACATCCAACCTTGCAGCAGACGCATTGTCTCGGCACCCTGACCCTCCGGTGTCTCTCAATGCACTGTCAACATCACAGCCTGCTTGGTCGACAACAGTTATTCATGGTTATGATCAAGATCCTGCGGCACATAAACTGTTACAAGAATTGGCCGTCGATCCTACTAGCCACCCTCCATTTACTCTGGTTGATGGTGTCATCCGCCGCCGTGGGCGAGGCATTAGGCTCGGGAACAATGTGGAGTTACAACACAGAGTCATCAATGCCTTACACAGCAGTGCCTTAGACGGTCATTCCGGCTTTCCAGTCACGTTCAGTAGGCTCAAGAAGCTGTTTGCCTGGCGTGGAATGAAGCTCGTTGTCAAAACTTTCGTCACCAATTGTACTGTCTGCGCCCAAGCTAAGCCTGACCGCGACGGTACCGGGTTTGCTGTCCCTCTACCAGTACCCACAGAATCATGGCAAATGGTATCGATGGATTTCATCGAGGGGTTACTAAGTTCTGGTGTTGCCAACTGCCTGCCTGTGGTCGTCGACAGGTTCAGCAAATACGCTCATTTCATTCCTATTTCTCACCCGTTCACTGCTCAGCAGGTGGCACAGCTGTTCCTCGACTCTGTTTACCGGCTGCACGGTATGCCAACACACATCGTCTCCGACAGAGACAGAATCTTCACCAGCACATTTTGGCAGGAGCTGTTCAGGCTAGCTTAGACTCAACTGTGCATGAGCTCCGCCTACCATCCGCAGTCGGACGGGCAAACAGAGAGGGTCAACCAATGCCTCGAGACGTATCTCCGCTGTTTTGTTCATTCCTGCCCTCGCCAATGGCTCAAGTGTATTCCGCTTGCCGAGTATTGGTACAACACAAGCTTCCACTCCTCACTCCAGCGGACTCCATTCGAGGTACTCTACGGCCACCCCCCTCGACATTTCGGCATTTCCCAATACTCTGCTACTCCAAATTCTGATGTGGAGACCCTGCTGTCCGAGCGTACAACCATGATGGACTCGGTCCGACAACACCTTCATCGAGCCCAACAAAGGATGAAAACCCAGGCAGACAAGCGCCGCTCGGAACGTACCTTCGATGTCGGCGACCTCGTCTACTTGAAGCTCCAACCATATGTACAGGCGTCGTTGGCTCCGCGGGCGCATCAGAAGCTCTGGTTCAAGTACTTCGGCCCCTACAAGATCCCCGCTCGCGTGGGATCAGTCGCCTACAAGCTGGAGCTCCCACCATCTTCTTCGGTGCACCCCGTCTTCCACGTCTCCCTCCTGAAGCCGGCACCGTCGACTAAGTACATCGTCTCCGGCACCCTCCCCGACATGGACGATGCTCTGCAAGTACCCGAACCTATTCTGCAACGCCGGATTCAGCACCGCGGTACCAGTGCTGTTCCCCAGGTCCTCACCAAGTGGTCCGGCCTCGACTACTCGCTCGCCACCTGGGAAGATGAGCAAGCCCTCCGTCAGCAGTTTCCTGCAGCCCCGGCATGGGGACATGCCGGTACCAAAGGGGGAGGGGATGTCACCGTCCCTCACCTGGACCCGTCCACATGTGAAGCTGGGCCGAGACGTGGAACTCGAGCCCGATCCAGAAGCAGAAGAGTGTCTGGTCCGCAATGGGCCTGTATCCGCTGCGAGCCTAAGAAGGAGTAGTAGATAAGACTTAAGAGAGTGGAGAGGAAGAAAGGAAAATCCAACTTGTATCAGATAACTCGTTACGTTTCTAAGCTTTCCTCTGTAACCGGACCTCTGGCCAGCGATCCCCTATCTCTGTTGGTCTCCGGCTCCGGCCGATTACTGTGTACCTAACAAGCTCGCGCCGCACGGGTCCCCAGCGCGCGGCCGCGCCAGGCTCGCCGTGTGGCTGCTCACCACCACGCTCACCGCCGACTTCACCTGGAAGGTCGGGGCGGTCGCCTTCGTCGGCGTGTCCCACCTGAACCTGATGCTGCTCTTCTGTGCGCTCCGCAGCATCGAGCTCGCGCCGCATGGGTCCCCCACGCGCGGCCGCACCAGGCTCGCCGTGTGGCTGCTCACCACCACGCTCACCGCCGCCTTCATCTGGAAGATCGAGGCGGTCGCCTTCGTCGGCGTCTCCCACCTGAACCTGGCCCTGCTCTTCTGCGCGCTCCGCAGCTTCGAGCTCGCGCCGCACGGGTCCCCCGAGCGCGGCCGCGCCAGGCTCGCCGTGTGCCTGCTCGCCGCCGCGCCTGGAGGATCTCCGCATCGGCTGCGTCGGGGAGCGTTCGATCAGGGCGCCTTACACGTGGCATCCATCGCGAGCAGGTATACACAACATGTGGGTTTGCTTTGCTCAGTTGCTGCTTTGTTGGGGTTATGTCTTTAATCTTGATTAATTAAACTTTTCATATGCATGGTTTTCACTTAATTAGTAACTCAGGGTTAATATAAAAATGTGAGCTATTTAAAATATACTAACCGCAGTATCGCGTGTTAAACTTTTGAGCATCGCATAATCTTATGCTACACATGTTAAGTATAATGTTTTTACACTTGCCGTAATTCAATAGAATCCCGGTATTATGCTAGAGTTTATGAAAAGATTCTCCAAGGAGTGCGAGGACTGCTAGTGCAAGAGTTCCCTAGTCGGTGTCCCTCTCGAGTGAAGTCCACCTTTAATAATCGTTTTCGTTGCGTTATGCCTTTAAGCAAGACTACTGGACTTAATGTAATGGACTGTTTAATCATTATGTAGTAGAGTATGTTTTCTGATATATCTACAATTTGTGAGTATATATATGTAAAAAATGACTTCCTAGGCACATAGATATATTGTATCTGGTTTTATTTGTAAAACTAGGTGTGACAAATTAGTATCTGAGTCATATTGGCTATATAGGAATAGGATGTTCAATCTAGATAGAGCTGTGACGCGTTGTTGCGAGCTGTGATAGCAAACCAAAGACATCGCAATCCCGTTCATCTGTTCATGATCGTGTGGTTGAGAACAAACATTGAGTTGAGTGAATTGATGTTGTTGCCATGGGTCAATTTTTTTTCGTATATAGATGGCCAAATGGCCCCGAGCACGGCCCAAGACCCCGCCCAGGCACGGCATAGCCCGATGGCCATCGTGCCCGTGCCAGCCTAGACAGATGGAAGGGGCCATGTGTCGGGGACCAATACTAGGTACCCGAAGAGGAGGAGCTAATGGTCATCAACATTGATTCAACCGAGCAGTCAAGAGCGCGCCTACCGCTCCAACCGACCCCCAGGTGCGCGGGCTCTGCCTCGCCCGACCTCCGGGGGCGGGCTCCGCCGCGCCCGACCCCGAGGCCACGATCTCCGCCTCACCCGACCTCCGGGGGCAGGCTCCACCTCGCCCGACCCCGAGGCCGCGATCTCCGCCTCGCCCGACCTCTGGGGGCGGGCTCCGCCTCGCCCGACCCGGAGGCCGTGATCTCTGCCTCGCCCGACCTCTGGGGACGGGAACCGCCTCACCCGACCCCGAGGCCACGGGCCCCGCCTCGCCAGACCCCTTGGGTGCGGGCTCCGTCTCACCAAACGGGGAACCATACCGCCGCCAATCACTCCAGGTCCAAACGTATGGGCTTGGATCAAAACTCTGACACCAAGTAAGAGACCGACACGCCCCGATGTAACCCACGGCCACGACAGGCCATACCTGAGGATTCACATCAAGAACAGCGTCGGGCGTACCAGTGCTGTTCTGCATAACCCTCGTACAAACACTAACAGGCGCGTCAGTTCACCACGATGTCCGCCAGGACGGAGTGGAGCGCCATGACCGACGGATGACGCCTGCGCATGGCGCCAGTGATGGACAGGACCGTGATGTGGAGCCGTCCCTGTTGACATCTACAGGGTCGGCGGGACCCGCATGAAGGAGAAGAAGGACCCGGCGATCCTAGAGGCCTTCCTCTCTCTCGCTCTTCTCCTTTTCCTCCGCTATAACCCACGCTTTTCCTTGGCCTATACAAGAGAAAGCAGGGCGCCCCATGAAAGGGACGACGAACCGATCGACCCATCAAGATCCGATATAGATCCGCACAAGAGCACAACACGAGTGCATAGCTGAGCAGCGATCGAGCTCTCAGCACCCACTCACTCCTTTCACCAGAGACTTGGGATCCTTTTCCTCTCTCCCCCGTTTATAACCCCTACTACAAACTTTCGGTGCTAGTAACACGAACAGCAGTGACGAACTGGACGTAGAGACTTTCTGTCCGAACCAGTATAAACCTCGTGTCCTCTAAGCACACCATTCGAGCCAAACGCGCAATAATACAAATTTACTCGTCGGTGGTAACTCGAAACACCGACAGTTGGCGCACCAGGTAGGGGCCTTTTACGTGTCTCGACATCCACATCAGGCCTCAGATGGCTAGTCGCGACGTCAGCTGGGTCCTGGGCGCGCACGTGCGCTTCGAGAACCTGGACTTCATCGTCATGACAGAGGGAGAGTTGGTGCGGGCTCTCGTCGTCGTCCAACCTCTCCACTCCGCCGACCTCGACGCGATCGCCGAGGCGCTTGAGGAGCTACAGCTGCACGCACCGGAGGCCCACGCCCTCGAGAGCGACCAGCTTCTCGGCTTCGACTACGGGAGGCTAGAGCGCTAGCTCGGTGCCTTCCTGGGACCCCGACCGCCTCGGGAGGACTTACTCCACCTCACCTTCTCGTTCGCCAACATCATGATGCAGCTTGCCAGAGGAGAGCCGCTCTCCCCGGAATACCTCATCCGGAGCGCCCCAACAGCGCTCCCGTCCGGTCTCCACAACACCGCAGAGACCGTTGGCCACCCTGTGGCGCAACGCACGCCTCCATCCCCCCCCCCGAACGATGAGTTCGTGGGGATGACCGAATATGTCACGGAATCTTTCCACGACCTCCTCACGGGAGAATCGGGGTCGCCCTTCGACTCTGACTCCAGCAGGGGGAGCCATCACCCTTCTCGTGAATGTTTCATGGCAGGTACCCCCGAGGGACATGTCGAAAGCATCCACAAGGGAGAGGCTACGCCAATGAACGACCTCGACGACGAGGTCGAGAGGGATGTAGGGCCTCACCTCGCCTGTGGGTGGAGTAGCTGAAGGCCCGGCACCAAGAGCTCAAGGAAGCACGACTGCAGCTCGAGTAGTAACACGCGGAGCTCGAGCAAGAGATTGAGTGCCACGGAGACAGCGGGCGTGCGTGCGCCGTGGCCCGCGACGTGAACCGGAGGATCATCGAGGACGATGAAGCCCTCCCACACTTAACCCGAGCGAGCCAGAACATCACTGCTGTGGTGGCCTTGCTCCGGGGGCTTTCGGGGCCCACGACGCCCGAGGATCATCGGGCCCATCAAGAGATTCGCACGCTACTCGAGCGTGCGGTGACGCAACATGCTGAGAGCTCGCTGTCCCGACGATGCGAGCTCGACGCCAGCCAGCGCGCGCCCTCAAAGCGACCCAACATGGACGTATTAGTCCACCAGGCATAGCGAGGTGGCAGGTCGCGCAACGCGGTCCCAGTGCACGAGCGTCTCGGCCGCAACCATGACGCGCGCGATACCCTCGATGCCCGCAGGCGTGCCCACGGCGACGCGAGGGAGGGGGCCAACGCGGCTACCACCGTCGTCGTGGCGGACGCTACGACAGCGGCAAGGACCGAAGCCCGAGCCCTGACTTGCTGGGACCTCAAGCCTTTGGCCGACACATCCTCAACGCCGTCTTTCCACCGCGGTACCGACCGCCGACCAACATCCCGAAATACTATGGGGAAACGAACCTTGGACTGTGGCTCGAGGACTATCGGCTTGCTTGCCAAGCCGGTGGAGCGGATAATGATGATTTCATTATCCACAATCTTCCATTGTTCCTGTCCGATTCGGCGCGAACGTGGTTGGAACACCTTCCGCCCAACAAAATCCAAAATTGGACGGACCTGAAAGAGATGTTCGTGGGAAACTTCCAGGGCACATATGCGTGTCCTGGGAACCCATGGGATCTCAAAAACTACTGACAGAAGGCTGGGGAAACTCTTCGTGGATACATCTGGCGCTTCTCCCGGTAGTGCAACGAGCTGCCTAACGTCGCCGACGCCGACGTCATAGGAGTCTTCCTGTCTGGGACCACCTACGAGTCCCTGGTTCACAAGCTGGGACATAAGGGCCCATAAACCACCAAGGAGCTCCTCGACATCGCCACCAGCCATGCCTCGGGCGAGGAGGCGGTCGGAGTGATCTTCGACCGCCTCAAGGGCAAGGCAAAGCGGGACGAGGACGTTGGCGAAGGCGCCTCCAACCGTCCCACTAAGAAGAAGAATAAGCAGTGGCGCGAGGGCTCGCTCATGGCTGCCGCCGACCGTAAGGGGGGTCGGAAACTCACCGAGGGCACCCCGGACCACTTCGAGAAGCTGCTCAAAGGACCATGTCCGAACCATGCTTTCCCCATCAAGCATCTATACAAGGACTGCGGTCTCATGAGGCGGTTCTTGTCCGAAGGCTCCAACAAGGGGGAGCATAGGAAGGACCCCAAGCCATCCGCGGACGACGCTGAGGGGAAGGATGGTGGCTTTCCGACGTTGGATGGCTGCCTCATGATCTTCGGAGGGTCAGTGGCCTATGACTCCAAGCGTCACCAGAAGCTCGCGCACCGTGAGGTCTATACGGCCGAGCCAGCCGGGCCTACCTTCCTCCGATGGTTGGAGTCCGCCTAAACCTTTGATCGGACCGACCACCCGGAGAGCGTCCCACAACCAGGGAGATATCCGCTCATGGTCGACCCAATCATCTGCACGAAGCGGCTCACCAAGGTACTGATGGATGGAGGCAGCGGCCTCAACATCATGTACGCCGAAATGCTCGACGCCATGGGCATCGACCGATCGCGCATCCGACCGATCGGAGCACCTTTCTATGACATCGTGCCTGGAAAGCAGGCCGTGCCACTTGGGCAGATCGATCTGCCCATCACCTTTGGGGATTCGACTAATTATAGGATGGAGACCCTTACCTTCAAGGCGGTCGGGTTCCACGGAACCTACCACGCCTTCCTAGGACGTCCATGCTACGCGAAGTTCATGGTCGTCCCCAACTACACCTATCTGAAGCTGAAGATGCCGGGACCATGTGGGGTCATCACCATCGGCACCTCCTTCCAGCACGCCTACGAGTGCGAGGTCGAGTGCTACGAACACGCCACATCAATCGTCGCCTCCAAGGAGTTTGCAGCCATCAGGAAGCAGGTCACCGAAGAAGCACCCGACCCCAAGCGGTCGCTCGGGTCTTTTGAGCCTATAGAGGGCGCCAAGGAGGTCCTCATAGACCCCAGCGGCTCCAAGGGCAAATTGGTGCAAATTGGCACCACACTTTCCTCTGAATAGGA